TTAAATCAAGCGAGCTCCTCATCGCTTAATCTCACAAGCGAATTAATGAGCAAATTTTCCGAGTAAGCCAACTCGCGAAAAAAATATTTCACTAAAATAAATAAAATTGATGAGCAGTGAACTGAGTCGACAACCCCACGGACAAGTGAGAGTTGACTTGCATCGTGGACTGAGCCGAGTTTGATGATGAATGAATCCAATAACTCTACTCGATTCATTTAATATCCCTATATAAACTTCAAAAGGCATCTCGAATTTGGAAAAAAGAAATATCAATCAAGATAACATAAATAATGGACGGGTTGCTGACTTGCTCAAATTCAGACAAAAGAATAGCTTTCACGGGACATTTATATGCCTTGCCCTTGATAGATAAATAAACAGTGACAAAAGAATGAATAACTGGATCACACTACGATAATTCTATTTTTTGTTTATATAAGCATTATGCTTAATTTTGTCTAGTCGACCGCTTGTAAGATTGAACCTTTTATCTAGATTATATTATTATAAGTTAAATTCTTAGATTGTTTGGTAGGATTTTTAAAAAGATAAAAGTTTATTCTGATATTAAAAAGCATATTTTGAATATTTTAAATAAGTTTATGAAGGTACTTTGTTTGACTGCAAATTCTTTTAAATAAAGTTGGCATAATGTAGATTTATAAGAAAATCCTTTTACAAGAAGAATAAGTAAAAGTAAAAAATAAAAGTATCAAATTAGTCCTTCATATTTTAATTTGGAAACAAACGGATTTCAAATAGATGGTTTCGTGTTTGAATAATAAAATAGGTGAACATGGAAACTTTAACATGAAAAAAGAATAATAGATTAGCACCAACCATTAATTATGTACCTTTGAGTTATTTTTTAGGGCAAAATATTGTGTGCAATGTTTATTAAACTATTTAATAGCTTGTTTGAGAGTGATTTTTTTGCCCCAAAAAATTGATTTTTGACCGTTATTTTACTATTCCAATCGTCATATTTGACTTCTTCTCTCAAACGTAGACCCCACTTTTTTCCTAACGGTTAAAAAATCAATTTTTAAAATCACTCCCAAACAGGCTCTAAATATTGTTTTTCATTTCTAATACTTAACTTGATTAGCATATATTAAGGTGCACGAAACTTGTGACATTTTGGCAAGTGCAACGCCAAAAGAATGACGTCGTTCTCTCTAATATTACGCAGAAAGTCGAGCTTTTATTGATTCGTACGTAATTTCCGATATTTGAAGAGTTGGTAATAAATGTTACGGATTTCTTTAAAGTTCTAAATTGCTACGTGCATTATCACATTATGTTGCTTTCAAGTAAATGGATGCAACTGTAAAGTCATGTAAAAATTAAATTAGCATATTTCCATTTAAGTAAATTATGCCACACAAATGTTATGCTATAAATTAAAGACTACTGAGAGTAATATCTCTCATTAAATAGAACAAAAAATTTGGCACATCCCTCCCCTAAATCGAGTCATTAAGAATTTTTTTGAGAAGTCATGTATTTAGAAAATTAATTAATTATGATACGTGAATTTTATTGTTATTATTATATATAGCATCAATATTTTCAAGTACTTTCTCTTTCAACGTGTTTTTAAATTCAACAATGTCATAGTGACAGATTTTTTTGACATAATGGATGATTGGCACTCACAGTATGCGGGGGCTCACCTCTCTTTTGGACTTTTTTTATTCACGCGAATCCCGCGCGCTGTGAAAAGATGTCAACCACTATATCGAAAAAGATTCTGACAAGGTAGTTTAATTCTTTTCAATTTATGCTTTACAAAAGTTACTAATTCAAATTCAACTTAAATTAAGAAGAAACCCACAAAACACAATATTTTCAAATTTTATGATTGCAAAACTAATCAAATGCCATAATACTAGCAACAATTGACAAAGATACGATTAGAGCATCTTTAAGAAACTTTCTACTTTTAAAGGGCACATTTTGCAATTTGAAGAGTGAAAATTTTAAAATACTCAAATAGCACCTTATTTTTAACACTTAATTTTACTACTCTCAATACGTAATTACTATTTTTTCTAGCTTCATTCCAAATTATTATATTATTTAATTTATTTTTCCTCCATTTTCTTTGTATATATAATTTACTTGGGACAATATATGGAGAATTAAATTTGTAATATTTTGAATGCATTTATTTATAGAGAGTGTATTTTAATTCACTCATTATTTTAAAATATTAATTTAAAGAGTTTCTTAAAGCATAATTTCAAAACTTAACTATTTAAAAAAAGAAAAAAAGACATTTCACTTTACAAGAACATCTCTAAGATATTCTTATAATATAAAGTTGTGCCAATGTCCCCATTTCAAGGCAGACAAAAACGTGGTCACAGATTTCTACGGCAACATTAGAAAATGTTACTTAGATAAGAGGTCACATTAATACTAAACTAACGTACTAGATAAGTACAGGGATATTAACAAATATTTAAGGGATCAAATTACTACTCATAATGAGATAGCATTTTAAGATGAAATCTCAAATCTTATTAATCAGAACCCAATAAAAGCAAATGAGAAATTCAATCAATTTAAAACTAGGAAAAGAGCATTCGGATTTCAAAATTAATGTGTTCAATGAGCCACCATCTTGCGATGTCCGCTAAGGATAATATTCGATTATATGCAAAATCATTAACCATCACATATAAAATTTTGAGGCGCCCCTTTTAATGAAATTAACTCAATTGATTTTCAATAAAAAGCATTTAGAATCTTGCAACTACAAAGATTGACAGAGCAGTGAATCCTCCGTCAATATGTCATTATGTTTTAATAAAGACATCTTAGGAAGTTGCAATATTTAATTTGAAAACAACGTATGAGATGATTTATCTTTTCACATTAGCCAAACTTTGGCATCAAATGTTTAGGTGGTCCATGTACCTACCTAGATATCCCATGGCTCTGATTAAATACAATCAAGAAAACTATGCGATTGAAAAGGACAAGATTTATTTAACAAGAAAATTTTCTATCGGTCCCTCGCTAATTGTTGTACTATCAAGTTAATCTCAATCCAAAAAAATGCAACATGTTAAGTCTTCAACCTCTTGTTATAATTGCAAAATCAATATATAATGTCAAAACAACTACAATAAATTTGCACGTGATACTTATGTGTCCAATTTAAAGAAGTTAGGCTTTCTTCATAACTTCACCCGTACTAAAATATTTGAAGCGATGCTTGTTTATCAAAGCTCAGGTCACAATATCAATTAGAATTAAGAGTCCGTTTGATTGCAAAGATAGAATTTGGGTGGAAAGAAAACGAATTTCAGGGAATTGAATTTCCTATAAATTATTTTATTGGGAATTTTCAATTATTGTGTTTGATTAGTATAATTTTTCATGTGAAAAATGTTGAAATAAAAGTATTTTTGATGTTCGCTTGACTTTGTTTTACATAAAAATTGTCAATTAAAAGGGATAAAGTTTATCGTTATTGGGGATAGAATTTGTTTTCATTGCCAAAAAAACTTCAAAAATCATCTATATTTTAGTGTTCGTTTGACTTTGTTTTACATGAAAATTATCAATTTAAGGGATATCTTCTTTTATAATTGTTCCTAGAATTTGTTCCCATTGCCAAAAAAAAAGGTGGAAAACATAAAATCACCTACCTCATGGGAAAATGAATTCCCCAGAATCAAGGAATTGGTGCATGTGTGAGGCAAAGGTGGAAAACCAATTGCCTAAAAAATTTTGACTATCAAACAAGCCAAAAGTGGAAATGGAATTTGTTTTCCATTTTCCATGGAAAATTTTGTGCTATCAAACATGCCCTAAGATGTTTCCGTCAACGAGAATGTAGCGTGCAACCATAATCAAGATTGTGGAACATTTATCTCTTTTTAAAAGGTTGGGACAATCGACTTACCTTTTTTTTAAAGATTGAGGACTAATTTTCCATTGAGACAATAGATTGAGGGTCAGTGTTGAAAATATACCAATTTACCAAAACATTGAGAGCTTATTTGGTAGAACTTCTACTCGTAAAGAGCTTTCCGATGAACCTAACTTAAGCTAGCCTCCTCTAAAGTTGTATAAGATAAAACATTTTTAGAAATTTATCGAAATATATACCAAAGCAACTTTTAACTTTTTAGAAATCATGTTAAACAAGTCCTTGAACTAGTTTTCTTTAAGAATCTTATCTAATCAGACAAAACATTATAAAAAAAAACATTCAAATATGTTCAAAAATAACTTCTTAATTTCAAAAGTAACTTTTAACTTTTTAAAGCATTGTCAAATGGGCTTGAAAATCAAATGAAACTACCAAACAAGACCTTAGGTTTCATTTGAATGGAGGTGCCAACTGGCAATTTAACAAACCAGATACTCGAAACTAACTCGCATCCCACGTCCCGTCAAACAAATCGGCCATTCAATTTCGAACCCCACAATTTTAACACCCATGAGACAACAGTCTCTCTCAAGAAAAATATTGAAATTAAATAAAAACTGGAATTCACAATTAATTTTTCAACACTAATTTCATATTCTGTACGCATATATATACAATGCCATCAATCAAAGCCACCACTGCAAATCCATTGCTTATTTCGCACTAGTCGTTAAACCATTTTCAAATCAAGAATAAGTACGGATATGATCTGAATTTCTGTAGATTTTTAAATTAATTGATCGTCAGGAATTGTATTTTATTTTTCGTTTTTGGTGTTAATAATAGGAAAATAATGGGGAGTTTGAGGGCGATTTTGAAGCACCCTGATGATTTGTACCCGTTGGTGAAACTGAAACTGGCGGCGAGGCACGCAGAGAAGCAGATCCCGCGGGAGCCACACTGGGGATTTTGCTACGCTATGCTACACAAGGTTTCTAGGAGTTTTGCTCTCGTCATTCAACAGCTCGACACCGATCTTCGTGATGCCGTGAGTCCCCGTCTCTTTATTTATCCCGTGCTCGGATTATGATTTTGTAGTTATCCATGTAAGTTCCGTGCAGCGAAACTTTTTTGCCCAATTTCAGCGATTGCATGCGGCCGTTGCCTATTACTCTTGAATTTAGCATTAGATTGAGGATATTCTTGGTCGAACAGTTGTTAGTATGTGACTGCTATAAAACCAAAAGCCATTGATATGAAAGAAAAACAACAATTATTTTCAATTTTTGATACTTTTGGGAAGATAACAATTTATAGACTTGAATAGTATTTTCATATCAATTTTCTTCTTATAACGTCCTTAAATCTGCAGATATGCATTTTCTACTTGGTTCTTCGAGCGCTTGACACTGTTGGTATGCTTTACTATCTATATTTTTCATTAATTTCCTTGTTTTGACTACGCTAATGCCGGTGCTTGAATCAATTGAGTTTTGTGATTACTGGTCGGTGATAAGAATTGAATTAAATATACCAAACCAATTAAATCAAGTTATGCTACCGGGGATTTCAGTTATTTCTTAATAGACCCTGTAGAGTGTTGACTTCACGAAATAAATAGATGCACAAAAGCACTGGGAATTGAAAAGGGGTTTGAACAAGGTGATATTTGCTAAAAATAGTTTTATTTTGATCTTGTTTGAGGATGGTGCAACATATTCATCTCTTGTCCAGACAACTCCTATATGAATCAAAAAATACCTATTAATTTGCTAAGAAACCGATACAACTTAGATCTCTGATGCTCAGAGCTCAAAAATTAAGTTAGCTTTAAATGGCCTTCATGTTTGAGTCTCTTTTAAGTCTTGTGATTCAAGTTAGATAAATATCTATTTTCTCATGCTCATGTGTGATCGGCAATGAAATGCACCAAAGAACGAGTTGTTATTTACCTTCTAAATGTATTCGTGTTCTAGATTATTAACTTCTATTCAAAGCAATTTGCTCTGGCTTTATATTCACTTTTCTGTAATTCTTTTGGACAGAGGACGATACAAGCATAGCTACGGACATCAAAGTACCTATCCTGATGGCTTTTCATCGTCACATATATGATCGTGAATGGCATTTTTCATGTGAGTTTTGGTATTTCTGCCTTGATTTAATTTTAACACACTTTGATTCCTCAGCTTTATTTTATTTTATGGATAAAAGAGCACCCTAAGGAGTCATTTGCAATCTCCAGAGTTTAAAAGTCTTTTTATCTACTTTGTGGGTGCTTGAATGGGCATCAAGGATCAATTCCATTTAGGCTTTAGCGCCACTGCCATGCTTTTTGGATACTTAGCCAGGACAAACCATTCTGTCTTCATGGGATCCCGACTTTTATATGCTCATTATTTAGCATATTGAAAAAAAGAAAAAAAGAAAAAAAAGAAAAAGGAACTGAAGGAAACAGATTCAGCATAATACTAATCTCTATTAACTTTCTCAGACAACAAATAGTACTGTAGAAATAGCAGTGTAATTATTACAGCTTTATCTCAGTAATTTGGCCATGCAGTTGGGCCAGTCCCGTAAATCTTTACCCACATTCATTTAGTAGTCACTTAGACTTTTATCTGTCATATTTTTTCTCACCCTGCTTTGTCTGTCATACTGTAAAACAAATGCATACGTCTGCTATGATGTCTCATATTTATTAGGTATTCCTTTTCAGTCATCGATTGCAGTAAGATTCACTCGTTTATTAATTGTCAATCAAGATATGAAGTGGCCTTCTATCATGGCCAATTGGAAGAGATTGGTCATGAAGTTGCTCTAAACAAGGTCGTTAACATTTAGTTCTATGGAGTCTAGCCCGGTGCTGGAATAGTTGAAAGCATCCCTTTTATGGTTGTTTGCAGGGAGGTGGCATGACACATTAAGAATGTTTTCTCAAGTATCTAATGGATGATTACACTAAACTGTTGCCTAATCCTTTTTATACTTTTTTCATAATAGGTGGTGTAAAGCACTACAAAGTTCTCATGGATGAGTTCCATCACGTTTCCACTGCTTTTCTGGAGCTTGGAAGAAGGTTTATAATTTATCTTTATTTACCCCCTTTCATTAGCTAGTATTGCTTCCTTGATGTTATCAAATTTCATTGGATCTGGTGGGTATTTAAAATTTTTTTGTTAACTTCTGTCTGTAGATAACCATTTGAGATTTTTTATGTCGTTGAGCTAACACATAAATATAGATAGTTGTTTCTGAATCTTTGAAGTGACTAATTTGTCATGCTTAAATATTGTCAATGCCATGTGGGTTTTGAAAATCTTATTCAACTGATAATTTGTAGGTTCTATAGCCAATTAGCATTTGAAATCTGGAGAGTCGTGAGATTGTTGGTGAATTTGAACATGATACTATGGATAAATGGTGCATAGAAATTTCCATTGGTAAAGAGAGCACATGGTCACCAAAGTCTTCAGATATTTGCCTCTTTGAGGAAAAACAAAGGAAAAAGGATTTTGGGTTCTCCTACCTCGATCATTTAAGTCGGATACCAAGGCATTTCTAGACCTCTAAATCCTTATAATTCATGTCCATGGTCATCCTGAATTATTTAGATCTTACCACTCTCTATTTGTCCTTGTTTCTTTTCTTTTTCCTCTTTTTTGGTATGTGTGTGCCCGCATGATCTATATGTTATGAATATAAAATCCGCATATTTTGAATATGTAAGCTAAATATTCTTTTATTAGTTTGAAGCCACACGATTCGTGCTGCTAACTTTAATTACTATAACAACTGAACTTTCGATATCTCCACAATTTAAATTAAGTAGATTTTGGCTTATTAAAGCATGTGTAATCCTCTAGAATTGAAGTTGCTTGTAGATTTCTGTAGAACCAAAAATTCTCTAGCAAAATTTAGTTAAAGAAACATTGTACTTCACTACCTTTGGATTTATTCTGCGTTGGAGAACTGATATATGGTAATTGTTGATGTTAAGGTTGCCTATAGGTAGTTTAGTGCATGTAATAAGCATTCTTCATTTATTTATTTATTTTTATTTATTTTATTTTTTGGCAGTTATCAGGAGGCAATTGAGGATATTACCATGAGGATGGGAGCAGGAATGGCAAAATTTATATGCAAGGAGGTATGCCAAAAATATCACATATGAGGCGATTTATAACTACTCTATCAGAGTCATCTAATGTGATACTTGACTTGTAACTTAGCTATTGATGAATCTCTAGAGGTTATCTTTCACGATCTGCTTGATTTCTTTTATACCTGACAATCTTAAGCATTATATATGCATTAAACTTGTGGTGCCGGAAATTTCTTTTTCCAGTGTACCTATCTTCTCGGCAGTATATGTTCGTTAAAAAAAGAAGTTTCCAGCAACATATTGCATGTTTGGCAAAGTTTAAAATTGTAGGCTGGTCATATATATTTTTTATTCGCACATTTTATAAGACCCGTAACTACTAATCACTTATTGTCCATTTATTTCGACTCACATCTTATAGTCACTTATTAAGCAATCCCAAGCACGCTTGGAGTGCTTAATCCTCTGGGCCACAATGTTGATCAACTTAATTATTTTTTATGTCATCATCACATACTTGCACATGGCACAATACATCATCCATAAGTTGAGTAAACTTTTCATGAACAATTTTCTAGCATTGGACTACCATTGTGCAACACAAAATCACTTATGCAGTTCCATTTACAACTTTTTTCTGTACAGGTAGAAACAATTGATGATTATGATGAATATTGCCACTATGTGGCTGGACTTGTTGGGTTAGGGTTGTCGAAGCTGTTCTATGCATCTGGAAAAGAAGATTTGGCTTCTGATACTCTCTCCAACTCAATGGGGTTATTTCTTCAGGTACTGCTTCTCATATATGTAGCAAGCAGTGCAATTCATCTTTGGGATCTTCGTTAAAAGGCCCATATTATTTCTTTGCAATTTCTGCAGAAAACAAACATTATCAGAGACTACCTGGAGGATATTAATGAGATACCAAAGTCACGTATGTTCTGGCCTCGTCAGATATGGAGTAAATATGTCAACAAACTTGAGGTACATCCTTTTTCCGGGTTTCATCTCAAACTTATCTTTTTATGTGTCATCTTATGCCAATTCAACTAGAGCAAGCGTGTTGTTGGTGTTCACTTTCTGTTTTATATGCTTCAGGATTTAAAATATGAGGAAAACTCTGTCAAGGCAGTACAGTGCCTCAATGACATGGTTACAAATGCTTTGATACATGTAGAAGATTGCCTGAAGTACATGTCTGCATTGCGAGATCCAGCTATCTTTCGGTTTTGTGCTATTCCACAGGTAGAGATGTTTTTATGCGGTTTCTTATATTTTAGACCTTTCTACCTGCATTATGCTTTTTTGTTTACAAACCCTGCAAAAAGTTCCTTTCTTTATGATGATGGTAATTTTAAGAGCAAAAGCAGACTGAGGCCCTGTCTCGAAGTTTTTCCTCTAGTTTCATCGCAATGCTAGTCATTATGTTGTGTTAATTATTACTCATTACTGCTGAAGTTCATTTTGTGGTATCAAATAACAGAGAAAGTTAAGATTCTTTCAACACCATATGCATAATGTGCTCTAGTCTACACGGGTTTCATGCTTATGCCAAACCAGCCATATGGAATCAACTTTTCTTTTATGGTTACCGTTACCTTTAGTAGTTGTAGGACTTGGAGAGAGGGAAGGTTGCGCGACGCTAGAATGTTGTCGACTCTGCAATCATATATTGTTTGACACTTTGCTGGAATATATTTTTCTACATTAACTTTAGAACTTATTACTTCCTTTGTAGAGCTAGAGCTAGTTTTGGAAAA